TACACATATATGTATGTCTATATTGACTTACATGTGTGTGTCCACATTGCAAATTTTTCAAAAAGGGCTAACTACACAATAACTTGAGCAAATCATTGCTGAATTTACCATGAAATTTTCCCAAAGTGTTTTTATGCACAAATTTTTATAATAAAAAAGCATAGTCTCATTAGTAGAAAGGTTTATATCTTAATAATCTCACACATTATTCTATATTTTCTTAAGAATTAGGAATGTCATTACTACAATAATTTTTTAGCACTAGGGCAAAATTTCCTAAAGTTTTAAAAAAATTATTATTTCATCTATTAAGTGGTAAACAAATAAAATTAGAATTATATGACTTAAAGTTGTGAGTTTCCTTCCTACAGGAGTTCTCCAAACCCTTTGTGTGTAGGAGAGGTTGAGAAGGTATTGCACCACACATCTCTTAGTGACTCACACAATCTATGTCTTTTTCTCCTGTGCAATTAGATTTTGCAGTAACTTTTGCTATGAAATAGTGGATGCATACTCACTGAAGACATTGTAAACTGAATATGTAAATACCATCAGGTACCTGTAGATAATCTCAAAATACGGATGTGTGTCTAAAATTTCTGAATATTTTGAAAATTTTTGTCATTTTTATGCAAATTTCTGCTCCATAGGATTGGCCAATACTTTGAAAAAAAATCCCTTCAATTTGGAATCAAATGGCCATGATGTATTCTTTTACAAATTTAGCTTATCTTGTCTGTCCAAAGTGGGACTTTTATAACTCTCTTTACAACTTGATGTTAAGAAACATGTATTGTTTTGATGGTCTTGTTAAACTTTTAAAAATTGAATATTAAAATTAGCCATCTTGTCCAGTTAAACCTTGCTTCTATTTATGCATATCCTAAACTTTGCTTTAGCCATGGTATTTAATTCTATTTTTTCCTTTTTGTAATTGAACTATAGTGTTTTACAGTGAGCATGCTTGTATCAGAGTCATATACTTTCCAAGATATAAGATAACTAGAAAAACTTAATTTTAAGAAAACTCTATGCATACATTTCCAAAATAGATTGACACATAGTGCTAGTGTGGATCTATATGATACTTCCTATCTTACAAGTTATCAAATGTAATATCAGTTAAATCACTTTTTTTAGTACTAGAGCTTGAACCCAGAGAAGAATCTTGCTAAGTTGTCCAGGCTGACCTCCAACTTGTAATCCGCTACCCCAGCCACCTAACTAGTTGGATGTACAGGCATGTACCATCACACCCAGATGTCATTTAGCTTATTTATATCATATGTCTCCTCAATATTGCAAAGTCTTATTTTACTCTGATAACTGTCATAGTGCAATTGTTCAAAACAGCTAATATTTACTTACCATGTACTATGTAACAGACAGTATCTCCTTCATGTGCTTAGAAGTTTACACATTTACTTCTCACGTCACTATGTGGTAGTTAATATTGTTGCTGTTAGACGTGACTGAAATGGAAAATGTTTGAGTGCGTTTGCCTCAGTTCACATAGCTAAGTAGAGCTGTACCTATGCTTTAAAATCCGACAGTTTGGTTCTGCGTAACTGTCCTCAAGGCCAGGTAGCAGTCATTCTAGAATATCTGTTCCATGCAGCGGACACTGCTCAACACTCGCACCTTCCACAGCCCCTAGGGAAGCACCACCTTCACCCGGAGTACGGCCACTACAGCCACATAGCTGACTCACTAGCAGGCTCAAGCCCACGGTGGTTAAAAGGTGTGGCGCTGGGAGTTTGAGGCCAGGAATCAAGTGCCCTCCCCTGTCTAATGAAAATGTCTGTGCTCAAGCAATAAGCAATCGTTCCTCGAGGATCATAGCTCTCTCCAGCCCCAGCCCCAGCCTGCCCTCCAGCCCCAGCCTGCCCTCCCTCTGTCTTGCTGTCGGGGCATTCAGTCCCAGACTGCTGGTGTCTGGAGACCACTCTCTATGATTCATGTAAAGTACAGTCAATCCCATAGCCAAAAAAGCCGTCTTTTCACAAATGTGCATGCACTGATTCATGAGAGAGGAGACCACAGTGACCGCAGAATCACTTCATAGCATTTTAATATACACTTTTTGTATTGTGCAAATCAGGACGGATGATACCTCACACATGCGACAGTTATTTGGCTGACGAGACTGCTGCACTGCATCCTAACAAATCACTGTTTAGATCATGATCATACTGTGGATATGGTGGGTAAATTCTACCTGTGACTGTCGGTGTTGGTGCATGGTGTCCTGGGGTTCCTGGGAAAGCACTGGGAACATTGGCTTGAGGTGGTCAGTACTATGTGACATTTTACTTCTTAAGCAAGAGGAAAATGGAGATTTATAATGACCCATTGCCTATCTGTATTTGGAGAGAAATATTCAGCAAGCCATATCAAGGAAATTCAGAATCTAACATATTTTTGCTATCTATAAGACAAATTTTATTTTTATTTTACATGTATAAGACAGTAAAGATCTGTTTTTTAACCAGAGCAGAGTTTGATTACTTGTGTGTTTTTGTCATTTGCATAGCAATTCTATACGCACTCGCAAAATTAAGTGAGAAAAGATATGGAGCATTATCTGGAGAATAAAATAAAGTAAAAATGATTCCTAATTATTTGGCATATCTGCATAATTACTTATTGTCAAGAAGTTTTCCAAGCATGTGATTTATTGTCATTCCTGCATTATCTATTTCATTACCAGGGACCACTAATATTTAATAACTGATAGCAACACATTCATGGTTTCAAAATTAGTAAAGAACAAAAACAACACCACACCTGAATTATTTAAAATACAAATTGCAGTGCTCTTACCAATAAACTACCGTATTTCATTTAAACACAGAATAAAATTACTTTTTTTTTTTTGGTACAGGGATCGAACTCAGGACCTCACACTTGCAAGGCAGATGGTTGAACCACTGAGCTAAATCCCTGGCTCTAAAATTTATTTAAGTATTTATATATATAAATTTATATATATTGAAACAAATCCAATCTACTTAATAATTACTATTTTTCCAACTCATTATGGAAGATAGATTAACATAGATGTTCTTTTAAAGGAATTCTTTACTTGGTGATTGACTATACTTTCAAAACCATCGCAATTTGTTAAATGATACTTTTTACAAAAGCATCTGGTAGCCATTCCAATCTATTTACAGAAAATTTTATATTCTTTGGACAAATTTAGAATAACATTCATTATCTGCTTAGCAGACCAGGTCAATTCCGCAGAAACAATCGAGGTGGGGTACAGAAATGTGAATTCAGTTCATGGTAAGAAACAGGTTTTTGCAATAACAAATAGATCCTTAAATAGATCCTTAAATTTTACATTATAATAAATTTGTACTGTGCTTAGTAAATCACTAACCCAATAAAGTATAAAATAATATTTTTTAAAATTACCAATATGTACTCTTTACTCTTATTTCTACCTAAACATTACATGTTTTTACTCTTTAATAAGGAATTGAAATGAACAGAAGGAAGAAATAACTTATTATTATTGAGACGGCTCTGGTGCAGAAAGCCAGGAGGAGTCATTTGTCTTGAGTTGCTTCTCTCTGCCTTACTTTTGATTTTCAGAATTTTAGTATTTTCCTTATAAGAATTTCTCTATGAGTATTAAAATACTATTAAGTTGTCTTATGCAAAGTATTTTCCTGACCATCTTGAGTAGTATAGAAATATAGTAAAGAAACTAGCATTCTAAAACACAAATAATACATAGGTTTGGAAATAATTCATTATTAAGCAGTGTTTAGACAGCATTGATCATTATTAAATCTTGAATGATTAATTACCTTAAATTGTGTAGGTTGCATTAGTATACATTTTCTAAGATATTTATTTATAAAAGGACTGACAAAATATTATTGAGCAAAATAAATCCTAAAATTATATTTAATGAAATATTTGCAATGTTCAGAAAGACAAAAACAAAAGTGAGCATTAAAGCATTCTCTGTAAAGTATATAATTCATAATGTAACATATGATAGAAGCTTTGAAAATATGCTATTATTCTAATAATTAAAGAAATGTGGTTTTCCTAATTAATGTTAAAATTATATCTAATATTTTGCTATGCTATATTTGTTTCTCACATATCCTGGTAATTAATTGTCCAGATTTCATATCTTCTTGAGATTCCAGCTTTACCTTCCTTTGCATAAACGTGTACTATAATCTGAAGATCATGGTCACTGTTCATTGTCACTGGTATGTGTAAAATGCTTTGTAGTAGAGTAAATATATACTGTATATGAGCCTGATACATTTCTTCTTATGCTTTTCAGAATTAATTATATTTTATTTTTGAATTTTCATGAGTTCTTTTGTTTTTCATATGCTTAAGTGATGTTACAAGGTTTGGCTTGGCTTGGTGTTTATTTTCTTTTTAAATGAGATTTATTGGTACACTTAGGTCTACTGTACGATCAGATCCATCATTGGGAATTTGTACCTGTACATGATAGATCTTAAGTTCTTATTTTGTCCATTCCTCTTCTCTCTCTTCCTCACTTCCACCCTGCCTTTATTTTCTTCAGTACTACTGCATTTGGCATATACTCTTGAAAATTATTTTAATATTTCAAATAAGTGTTTGGCATAGTAAAACTAAACTTATACAAGCAGCATTCAAGTGTGATGCATAGTTTATGCTGTGGCAGGCACATAAGTTTTGCTAAGTGAATGAACCATCTTAAAAACCAAAACCCAAAACACCCCTGGGAATAAACAGAAGAAGGCAAAGATCCCTTCCCATTCCTGTAGGCTGAGCACCAGGCCCAAGTGCCTGCTTTTATTGTAGTACAGGAAATAACAACCAGCTCGGCAGCAATGCTCAGAGCCACAGAACAACTGCGTCTCAACCCTGTGGCAACCAGTCATTCTAATGTTCTTATTTCTAGATTTGGAATGTGATTGATTTAATTCTGAGCAAAAGATACAATTCTTTTGTCTTGTTTTTTTTGCTTTTAGCTCCTTGTGAAGGCAATACATTCTTCTGCCACAGTAACATGTGTATTAATAACACATTGGTCTGCAATGGACTCCAGAACTGTGTATATCCTTGGGATGAAAATCATTGTAAAGGTAATGATTAGTTTTTGAAATTTGCAAAATCCCCTTCCTGTAGAATGAGAAAAAAGCTTATATGCATTGGTCATAAATATAAGTATAAAGAGGCTTTGTGAGCTGTACATGTCTTGTAATTAATCTGTAGCCATTTTTTGCCTTTATTTAGGCTATCCACATATTTTCTCACTCATTAATTCATGGTGGACTATCTTCACTACTAGAATGCTCATTAAAATATCTTATAGCCTGCAAAGCCACAGAGAGTAAATTGGACTTTTCCACAGAATATATTATTTCATTCTTATACCTGGTACCCCTCAACCCATAACCACACCTCTTATTTAATTCAAGTTTTTTTTTTTTAATTTGTTGCACTTTTACAAATACTCTAGAGATAGAAATTCTTCAGGGAACATTTGTGCTTTCAAGTACTTCCAGCTTCTTAACTCCATTCCAAATGTGCTACCAAAATATTTTTCTTCTTTTTCAATTAAAAATAGTTTCCACTAAAAATAGCCTCTCTTTAAAGGGTTATTTAGACAGGGTTCTTGGGCTGAGTTATTTTGCGTGTGTTTTTTTGTTTGTTTGTTTGTTTGTTTGTTTTATTTTGTTTTGGTACCGGGGATAGAACTTGCATTCTTGTGCTTGAGAGGCAGGTGGTGGAAACTCTGAGCTAAATCCCCTGCCCCTTGTTGCATGTTAAGTTGAATTTATTATCACATACTCTTTGTTCAGGTTCACTATTAAACAGTTTGCAAAAAAAAAGAGCAGACTGATAGCTCTCAGATGCCTACAGTCCAGTGTTATCTACTGCAACACCTTCTGTTGATTGGCACAGGGACATATCACACAGCAGCCATTGCTTTGTAGATTCAATAAGATGAATTGAACAGTAGCAACTATTTTGATGATGACGTGGTGACCATCATTAATTCTGTGTCCCTGGAACCACTTGTCAGTAGATAGGAAGAAAAATACTATCTGACTTATTGTACTAGGCTAAATTATCCTCACGCCACACTATTGATGAGTCATAGTCACTACCAGCTTTGTTTGCCCAGTGGGATTTGTTGCCATACCTGTAAGGAATATTTTGCCTGAGGCAACAATCTAGAAATTCCAAATGGATGTGTTTCATGGAAGTCCCTGCCATATTCTCTAGAAGGCTCAGCCATTAATTTGATTTCTGAATGATTTTCTTGTGAGAAAGCATACTTCTTAGATTTCAATAACTTACATTATTGTGGGGGTATGTTTTATGGCTTAGTGTGAAAGATAGCCTAAAAGAATGTCCATGTGTCCTTAAAAACAATGTGTATTTGCCGATGTTACAGGGCTATTCTGCCACACAGCAATATTTGTGTTTTTTTTAATCTTCTTCCATGTTTTATCCATTTTTGAAATAGGATTTAACTCTTTAAGTATGGCTGAACTATCTGCATCTCTCCTCAGTTTTTTAAAGCTTTTGTTTCATATATTTTTGAACTTTGCCATTAGCACAGTGTATGTTTATAATTTTCATATCTTCTGGTGAATTAAACATTTTGTCACCATACAGCAATACGTTCAGTGCCACAGTTTGCCTTGAAGTTACTTTGTCTGACACTGCAGTCGCCACTCCAGTCCTTTTGCACCTGTGCTTCTGGCCTCTGCTTTCTATTTAGTCTCTATCTTTTGAATAGAAAGTGTTTTGTTCTAGGTGGACTGGGGGTGTAGGTCAGGGATAGAATGCTGGGCTAGCGTGCATGAAACCCTGGGCTCAATCTTCAGTCCTAAAAATATTTGTCCTATATACAGCATGTGTTGAATCTTATCTTGTAAATCCAGTTTAGCATTCTTTGCCTTTTTATCACGTGTTTCCCTGTATTCATTTTTGATATACTGTTATTAATATAGTTGGATTTTTGTCTACCATTATAACATTTTTCTACATTTATCACATATTTACACTGTTTTCTTCCTTTACTGTTTTCTTCTTCGTTAAGTGAATATTTTCTAGCCTAATGTTTTAAATTTTTAGTAGTTTTTCAATGTATACTTGATTGTTTTTCTTAGTGATTGCTTTGGAACTTGTAATAAACAGTCTGACTTTTCAGGAGATATTTCAGTATTGTACTAACAATTCTAGTGCAATAGAAAAACATTATTTCTAAAAATTTCTAATCTTTCTCCCCCCCAGTTATGTCTATTTATGTGATGAACTCATTAAAACATTGTAACAATTTTTACTTTGTATAATTTAAATCCTTTGGAGAAGTTGTCAGAAGAAAAGATGGCACATATTTGCCAGTATAATTTCTTACACAATTCTTTAACATTTCTGGCTCTCTTCATTTTTTTTGTAAAATTACTTTACCCTTGGTGTCATTTACTTATTCCAAGATTAGTTTGTCTCCCGTTGATCTTGTTTGTACTTTTGTCACCAAATATGTGACATTTTAAACTTTTTAAATAAAAGGAATGGATTTTTTCAGCATTTATTCTACTTGGACATTGTTGAACTTAGAATGGGTTCTGTCATCAAGTCTGGGAAATTTTTAGCAGTTTTTTTCATTAAGTTTATTGGTACATTTTAGGCATACAGTACAGTTATATTCATCATTGGGATCTTGTACCTTACATGATGTATCTTGGTTCTCATTTTTCCCAATACGCCTGCCTTCCCTTCATCCCCTCCACCCTTCCCTATTTACAATGACTTTATTTCCATTTTTTTCCTAAATATTTTTCTGTTTCTCCTCTCCTTCTGTACACACTTATTTGCTATATTTTTCTGAGACTCTGTTACTTTTTCTGCACCCTTTTCCCATTTTTATTTTTATAATGCAATGCATTTTCATTTCTTTATCTTCAAAGGATGTCCTGTATCCTTTTCTATGACTTCCCTGAGGAGAGGTGATAATTTAAGTGTGCAGGGAGCCAGTTGTGGTTCAAATGGCACAGATGCTCACTGTCCTGAAAGAAATGCAGCTAATTTCAAATAGACGAGTATCCATTTGCTATAGGACTCTCAGACATTTTCCAGAGTTTCATTAACTAAGAATTTAAATTCAATTATTTTCCACAGTAGTTTTTGCCAGTTATGGCTGCTTAATTTGGCAAAGAATCCATGCCGGCTCTCACAACACTATTCCGAAATGTCTGTTTTAAATTTGAATTGGATTACATTTTGTTATCCAGATGCTATGGTTAGTTTAACGTCAGCTATCTCTGTCAAGCATAGGCACAGAATAATACGAATATATTTATATTCCCAGTAGTGGAGGTTACTGGTATCTTTAAAACTAGCACAAGAAAATAATTTACTTTATAAAAATACCAGTTTCTTCGCAAATATCATGACATAGATCTTATACAAATTGCTAAAATATACACATGTATATAGATATACTCAGTGTATAGATAAATGTACATACATACTTATACACATATACATGTCATTATTTAAAGCTGATATGATGGGTAATGATGGTATTTGGGGGGCTAAAAGGTAGGGCCCCTGTGAAAAGTGAGAACATTTTTATTTTTAAATAGTTTTATGTTGCTTTAAGTCTGTGAAAATTCTATGCTCAGACTATTTCATTTTTAAATTTTTAATATATATTTGACCATAATATTAATGTGTGGTGGATTGTTTCTCGTTTTGTCTGTCTGTTGTTTTCACTGTCTCCTACCTGCAGAAAAGAGGAAAACCAGCCTGCTGGACCAGCTGACCAACACCAGTGGGACTGTAATTGGCGTGACTTCCTGCATTGTGATCATCCTTATTATCGTTTCTGTCATTGTACAGATCAAACAGCCTCGTAAAAAATACGTCCAAAGGAAATCAGACTTTGACCAGACCGTTTTCCAGGAGGTGTTTGAGCCTCCTCACTATGAATTATGTACTCTCAGAGGGACAGGAGCAACAGCTGACTTTGCAGATGTGGCGGATGACTTTGAAAATTACCATAAACTGCGGAGGTCATCTTCCAAATGCATTCATGACCATCACTGTGGATCCCAACTGTCCAGTACTAAAGGCAGCCGCAGTAACCTCAGCACAAGAGATGCTTCTATCTTGACAGAAATGCCTGCACAGCCCGCCAAGCCCCTCATCCCACCCATGAACAGAAGAAACATTCTCGTCATGAAACACAACTACTCGCAAGATGCTGCAGATGCCTGTGACATCGATGAAATCGAGGAGGTGCCAACCACGAGTCACAGGCTGTCCAGACATGATAAAGCCGTCCAGCGGTCAGTATCAATAGATATTCTGATGACAACTATAACCTGAGGACTGAAATACTTCCAGAGTATTGTGTGCTTTCTGGCTTCATATTTCAGTTCCATTTAAGTGATTTTACCATATTCTCTTCTTTTTTTTTTTTTCAGTACTATCTATAATTTTCTTAAGTCCCATATTGCATGATATCTGTCTTTCTGGCTTCATATTTCAGTTCCATTTAAGTGATTTTACCATATTCTCTTCTTTTTTTTTTTCAGTACTATCTATAATTTTCTTAAGTCCCATATTGCATGATATCTATATATCTAGATATCTAGATATATACACACACATGCACACATATACACAACAGACCAAATATATTCTATTTTTATACATATATAAAAATATTTATTTGTATAAGAATTATAAACTTGCAATTTATATTCAGATTGTTCCCATCAATATTTATATATTTTAAAATAGAAAATTATATTTGGAAAAAACTGCCTTAGTACAATGGCTAATCCATCCTGGTGAACAGTTTTTGTTTTGTTTTGGTACCGGGGATCGGCCCTCGGTCCTTGTGCTTGCGAGGCAGGCGGCAGAACCACTGAGCTAAATCCCTGGCCTTGTTGAACAGTTTTGATACAAAAGTAACATATTTTTCAACATAATATACTTATTTTTGTATGAAAATGAAAACAATTATCTTCTACATATCAGATAACATAAATTGCGTACAATAGCATGGTTTGCTATGATACTGCACACTGATATTTAAATGTAGAGAGTAGAAACATTTTATTTTCTTGTTTAGAAATATAAAGTAATTTCTGTATTGTATTATTGGCACTAAAATGAATAAAAGTTTTGAGGATAGAAAATTTAAAATTACAAAAAATTAAATTTTAGCATTATCTACTTTTGTTTATTGCATGTTTACTAGCATTTAGCTTATTTTATAAATGTACATACCTTTTTCATTATTTTATACATTATCAAAATCTAAAATATTTTAGTTGATTTAATGTCTTGCATGTTGATGACAAAATAGCTATCCATCATTTTATAAATTTGGAGAATGCTTTTAAGTAAATATTGGTATGCATATATTTATTTATGCCCAAATACTACTTGGTTGAATGAAATAGCCATAACATTCCAGGTTCTGCCTCATTGGGTCTCTAAGCAAACATGAATCTGAATACAACACAACTAGGGTCTAAAAAGAAAATTCAAGGTAAGCAAATGCCCTTGGTTCCTTCTCCCACTTTGTTGTACTCCGTTTTGTTTTGTTTTGTTTTGTTTTGTTGAAACTGTCTTGTATTTTTTTTTTTGTTTTGTATTTGTTCTTTTCAGGGTATGTGACATCTATTCATTATTTATCAAGATGTGTGTTTCATGAAATTTCATAATTATAAATGCAAATGTCCAGTGCTCATGGGGATAATTTTTTGCCATGTAGAACTTTAAGATATATGTTAACAGTCTTACCATTAAGTGTTGTACTAAAGTATTATTAAAAGGATATTAACTTAATAAGTGATATTGTACATATTTTAAGGTAATGGTACTAAAAGTAATGAACACATGGTTTCTTAGTATAAATACTACAAGAACCTAAGTTTTATAAAATAAATAATAATAGAATATTCATTCTTTATACAATGGAGATGAATGAAGTGAATAAATTAAAGTGGTGATTACCTTAATGATAATTTGGCAACATTCTATTCAAAACACAAACATTAACTTTTTGGTAGTCCTCATACAATTTTTCACTCTTATTTTTGCATGAATATGTAGCTTATCTCATCAAAATTAAATGCAGCATGTACAAAGTTCCATAGTACTAGTTGTCTATCTGTGTATCTATTTTGTCACTAAATAACACAAGGTTTTACTTTCTGCACTTGATAGTCTATGTGTATATTAGTCTAATTTGTCTCCAATTAAATTTGCTTGACAGCTAATCTCTTCAAAACTCTTCAAGCCTGTCAACTGTTCTTGCATTAGGAAATACACTTCCTTGCTCTATATTACCTTGAAAAAATTAGTGTATTTGTATGCATTTTTTATTGGAAGAAAATGTTTTAACTGTGTTTTATTTTCAGAGAAGAACTATTTATACAAACATGGGGACTGTGAAAAGAAAATTCTATAGTGAATTGTGAAAAGTGGACATATTTCTAAATTCATTCCACTGCCTTTATCCAAACTTAAGAATTACAGACATTTGTTACTCCTTCGGCAAGACACCCCCGCTGCACAATGATATGTTCATTTCGTAATTTGGTTGCTGGCCACCAAGTGCTCCTTAGTTTTTAAATACATTTTGAGATTTACTGGAAACTTGAAGAAGAAATTAGTTCCTGATTAAGACTATCCCAACCTTATTTTTATTGTCAGTTTCACTTTTGTTTCTATGTTGTTTATGTCTTTGTTATATAATTGTACATTGTGTGATATGTGGGAAAAAAAACCCCAACTTTGGATGAACCTTATGTTACATATACATTGTTTTCATTATATAGACTGCTTGAGAATAGTGCGTTCCTGAGTGATTTTGAACATGCTACAGTGAAAAGTGAAAATGTGGACCATGGAAACACCAGCTAGAGCTTTTACGGACTATACACACTCATTATTTTGGTGTTATTATTAAACACAGTAATAAGTAATGAGTCAAATTACTAGACGGCAATAAGAAAAATCTCATTTTTTGTCTTCCCTGTATAACCATAATTTCTTTTTTATGTTGTATCAAAGGATGATACCAAGTTTCAGAAATCATTTTGAAATTAGGTATTTTACCGTTTATACCCTACAATAGACATGCTTTTGATTAGACACTTAGCAATATGACTGAATTGACAGTTTGAGAAAATACCCTGCATGTCAGTACTGGATATTTGAGTTGGGGAAATATCCTCTTTATTAGACACATTGTAAAAAGCATGCATTCTCAATACTGCTGTTACTCTTTCATTTCTTTGTGTCATATGCTTGCTACTTGTAATTTTTTATATAAAGATATATAAAATGCATAATAATTTCCTAACTTGAGTTAAGAGAAATATTTTCTTCTGTTAGAGTGATAAGAAAAGCTGACTCACACAAGTATACACTTTATTTATATCAATTCTTCCCAAATTTTAGAGTACAGAATATACTTTAGGATTGAGTTTACTTCCCCAAATCTTTGATTTCTAAAATTTTATGAACTACATTCTCCTTTTAAAATAGGAAGGTCTTTTTTTTTAAGTGCTTTAAAATCACAGATCCTTTTATGGCATGAGTTGCACAATTCTAAGTTATTCTTCTGTCAGGCACATATATACCATCCAAAAGCTTAGTGATTATGATGTGTTTCATACAAATAAAGCAAACCTCTATAATATATTCATTTGTTGATGAATTGCACACCCATTTTTTAAAGTTTGATTTAGTGAGTGGATACTTAAAAAATAATTGAATGTGTATTCTTACAAAATGAATTTTAAGAACCAATATTACTATACATCTACTTACCAACATTTTCAAAACTACTGAATTCTACAGTTTAAAGGAATTCTGACCTTCAAAGATCAAGTAATTTCTGTTTTTTTATTTGTTTGTTTGTTTGTTTGTTGAGATGGGGTCTTGCTATGTAGTTCAGGCCTGCCTTGAACTCAATATGTAGCTCAAGCTGTGCTCAGGCTCATGGAGATCTTCCTGTTTAAGCATCCCACCTACTGCAAATACAGGCGTGCTTCACCATGCCTGGCCCCAAATAGCAAGTAGTTTGATCTACCACAATGCAGTCCTTGCAAGTCCAGTTGGCTTTACAAACCAAATGGATAAAATCACTGTTATATCTCCTTGAGAGGAAGTCAGTTTCACACGTTAAAAATAAATCCAAGGGCCAGGGATGTAGCTCATTGGTACCATGTCTGCCTGACAAGCTCAAGGTCTTGAGTTCAATCTCCAGGATCAGGAAAAATAAATAAATAAATCCAAATAAATGAAAAATAAAATAATTTTGTAATGGAAACATGAAAGAATTATAGCAATTTTGAATACTCTATATTGAAAACATATCATCTTAAAAAAATCACATTAATTTAATCAACTGGTGAATAAGAAAAGATGCATTAAACATGATAAAGATTATTTTCATTATTGTTGTATATATTTTATACACATTACTTGTGATAAAACTTACTGTTTTTATTTGGCTTGAGTGATTTATTTATTACCATACTTGCTTTTATGCCCTTTAATTCAAAGAGGATGCACCAAAGATTTTTAAAATAATTAGCCATATTTTATATTGTTTCATCTCTTTAGGAACCTTCTTAGATATCTTCACTTTGAATGAATAATCTCAAAATATGATATATATACATATGCTAAGGCTTTTTACTTACAACAGCAGTGAAGACAGGAAAATAAATTAGGTGAACAATTTACCATTCACTTGTCCTGCAGCTTTTCACACACAGGACGTCCATACCCTTCCATTCTTCCTAGTTGTATAGGATACTAACATGTTTATTCTCTGCCTAGAAGATTTTGGCACCAGAAAGCTACTAATGGGCATTTCATTTTGTAAACAACAAACTAAAAGAAGTACACTAGGGAGAATGAATATCTTCCATATATGTTTAATTCCCATCAACGCTGTGGGAAAACAGAAATATTTCATTAGAAGAGTAGGCCCCCTCAATGGTAATGCTAGAATAACTTCATGGCAGATAGACATTGATTCATCAGAAGAGAAGATGTTGACGCTGTTGGAACAGAACCCCAGAGGTACCCTGCTGGACTCTGGCAACGACTCTTGGTGCTGACCCTTATAAGACAGCCCCCCCCAAGACTTGGACATGTTCTTTGAAGAGCCCTGGAGGAGCCTAATATTTAGAAGCCAGTGTTGAAACTGATCAGTATAGTAGAAGTTCCTATTTAATGGCTACGTAGACTTTATTTTCTCAATAAGAACGTCCGGCCTACATTTACAAATGGGTGACATCTGTAGATGAGGAAGGAGATGTTTCAAGTTTTTTTAAATCAAGTTATTTTAATAAATAAGTATTTTTCATAAAATGAATTCAAATATATAACACAAGTGCTTTATCAGTTCAGTAACATGTTTTCAAACAAACAATGTATTAAGTTAGTCTTCTGTGTTAATTTGGTAAAGCTATTCATTTTATTTTTTTATGTTTTAATTCATTTTTCAAAATCTTGGTGACATATCACAATTACATGCAACACTCCGAAGCCCCTAGTTGAGTTTTTACCTCTGTCTAAGTGCACCAGTTGCCTACATTAAAGTCGATGGGTTGCTTTGGAAATCCGATGCTTTGTACCTATTTTTGCACATGCCAACTTTGTGCAACACAATGCAGAATAGATATGTTATACTTGATTTTCCATAATTCACTTTGATTTAATTAGATAATTACGATGTGGCTGTAAACAGATATCTGTGTCTTCAGGCCTTTAAAGAGTAACAGCTTCTATCATAGCGTTGCTGGCTATTTTGTGTAACTTTATTTTTTCCTACTTAAAAATATTCAGTATGTCTAAGTGACTGTAAAAGTTTTGATTCTTGGTGTGTAAAGTTTTTGATATTTGATATTACTTGAATATTCACTTAAGGTATTTCATGAGCTTTTTCTATCATTCTTGCTTAGGAAGTCAGGCTTTCCTCACATCTGGGTGAGATTTCCATGGTCTTAGAATGTAATAAATTGAAAAACACAATCCTGGTTCCTATTACTTTTATTAAAGTAAGAGTGTATAATCTATCAGTTTTAGTAGTCAAATAAATAAAATAGCATTTTGTCAGGAAGTTGATATATTTCAATGAAGAAAATGAATACAATATCCCAACTCTGGAAGAAAGTTAAATACATAAAGCCAGTAAAATTCTCTGAATCTTAAATGGATATGATTTCAAAAAGAGCTTGTTTTCCAGCTGCTCTGAAATGTTAGTTTCTGTGTATGATTTTTTCCCATTTGAGTAATTTCTGCCTATCACAATATGGTACAAAGGACCCAGCTAAGAAATTCTTAACTTGATCAAAGAATAAAAAAATGAGACTTCAGTTAATAATTTGTCTATTGTTTAATTCATAATCCTTATGTCCCTTTTAAAAGTTGAATATAGAAACAAAAAATATATATTGTCAAAATAGCCAGATACATGTTTTTATCAATAATTCAGTTCCATAAATCCGAGGTCCTTGTTAACTGAGAGTTATCCTGATTCATTTTATTAATACATTTTTATGAAGTGTGCTACAAATATTATTAGGTTAATTATATTATTAAGGTAAATCAAACAGGATAACAAAAGTAATAAATGTAAGTGAATGTTCTCCGACACTCAACTCATTATTTTCCTTGTAGCATTGGGGTCTGAATTTTCTTGTAAACTTTTGAAAAGGTGAATGGTCTCTTAAAATATTTCTAATTCCTCAGACAAGGGAAAAATGCACCTTATCTGATAGAGACTTCTGTCACCTACTTGGATGTTTTCTAAAAGGTCCTTATTATGGAGCCAATATAATCATATAGTTAATTTGCTCCTTTACATCCCTAGCAACTTTACATTGTCATGTTAGTTGCCTTTAGCTTCTGCCATCTCTCTGAGCACCAAGACATGCCATCTTACAGAGGTTCATTATTTCAATTTTTTCGTTTGTTTGTTTTTGAGACAGGGCCTTGATATGTTCCAAGCTGTTGTCAAACTCACTACATGTCACAGGCTGGCCCCTAACTTGTGATCAAATTTCCTCAGCCTCCCAGAATGCTGGGATTAGAGATGTTAGTAACCATTCCTGGTGTGGCCTCTCTCTTAGTTACCTATACTGACACAAAATTTAAAAGTGACCAGGAAACAATGTAAATGATTCTAAAGAAAGCATTGCTTTTCTAGCATATTGTAAAATTTGTATTCTATTCATTTTACCATAAGTTAAATTTGATATCAACACAGCCAATCTTTTTTGAGCTTGTGCAATCTATGTACTAAACTTAGTCCTGAGTTCTTTGCAAATGCAAATGGAGAAAACGATAGAACAAGGTGCACAATTATGGAGACTAAAAGAAGGAAGGATGCTCAGAGGAGACACAGGAGGAAAATGAAGCTCCACTTTTTCCAGGCTGTCCATCTCAAGACACTGATTACTCGTCTCTGCATCACTCCTCCATCACATCTTGCGGGAGATGTGACATACTCAACTGCCCAGAAAATAGAGCACAGGTGTTGTTTACAGTTAAGAAGTTTGGAGCAGAAATATAGGTTAATGCCTTCTCAGGAAGATCAGGACAGGCTTTATGAAGAGTTGATCTTTAAAGCAGGTTTTGAAGAAAGGCAAACATTGTCAAGCTGGAGTGCATAGAGAAATCTCTAAACTAATGAGAGCAGGAGTCAGCTTGGAAGATCATTTATTTGAGTTGACAGGTGCACTGGAGGAGACAGAAGGGGTCGTCGTAAATATAATTGCAAAAGAAAGTAGGCATTGATACCATGATTTATGACTACATAAAATGCTTTTCCAAAGGAGTTTACTTTTATTTAATGTCTCTTGACAAAGAAGAGCTTAAAATCCTCTGAAGGCAATATGTTTTCTAAGTTGAATGAAGAGTAAAATAAAGTAGAGCAAATCAAGTCAATAATGAATCAAGACATTAAAGTAATTGATTTTTAGTGATGCAGAAGTATTTCTCTTGCTTTTCTGTTTATTGTTTACTTTATTTATTATTTCAAGGTTATGACTGATAGACTAGCAAACATTTTCAATATTATATGCCAAACACCATTCTGTGCATCTTATGTGTAATCTTTTTCTTGATCATCTTAGCAATTATATGAAGAACAATAATTATAGTAATACTGTTTTTGTTGTTGTTATTATCCATTGTATGGATGAGGAAAATGAAGAGTTTTAGCAACTTCTCTGAGATTGTATAAGAGGGATGAATCCATCTTTGAAACCAAG